GACTATTAATGTAAAGATTTTTGATCTAGGAGTCCTAGAAATTCAATCTAGGGTCTTTGCACTGAGCTACATCCCCAGCCACTTTTATTTTTCATTTTGAAACATTAGACTAAATTGCTAAGTTTCTGAGGCTGGGCTGGTATTTGGATCCTCCTTGACTACTAACTTCTTGAGGCAAGAGTCTTAAGTGTTCCTGGCCTATAGCACAGGGCCTGGCTCAAAATAAGCTCTTACATATGTATGAAAGAGAATGTAGTCTTTTCTTCTTCAGTGCTGGGATTGAATCCAGGACCTTCGCACTGAGCAATATCTCATTTTCAGGGTTTTTTAGAGATGGGCTCTCATTATGTAGTTCAGACTGGTCTTGAGCTCATGGCAATCCTCCTGCCTCAGCCTCCTCAGTGCTGGGATTACAGGGTCGCACCATGATGGCTGGCTCTCAGCTCTTTTTAGTTTTATTTTGAGATTGTTGGATAGGGTCTTGTTAAATTGTCCAGACACTGAACTTGTGCCTTCCTGCCTCAGCCTCCTGAGTAGCTGTGATTAAAGGAATGCACCTCCAGGCCCAGCAGGAGTGGTCTTTTTCTGTAATGCTGGTTGTGTAGAGACAGGAGCCCAACAGGCAGGGAGAATGTAGGGACGGCCCCCTTAAGAACAGGAGGAAGCCAGCCTGGGCTGTGTGTGGCAGCACGTAGGCTATATATACTCAAGAGATGAGCTAAATTCCTCTTTGTACGAACTGTTCCAAGGAGGGAAGGCTTCTCACCCCCCGCCCATCATAGACCCTTAGCAATGAGCCGGTACCCAGTCGGAAACAGCCACGTGAGAGGGATGAGGTGGCTTTGGACCCCATTACCCTCTGAAACAGGCCTGCTGCCCCATATTCAGGGGTCACCAAGCTTTCAGATCCCACTCCTCAGAGTGGCTTTTGTGGTGCTTTCTCCAGCAAATGAACTTACTTTTGCTTTGCACCATTTCGGACTCCTCTTTCTTTTTCTACAGAGGATAGAGACCAGCCTGGGAAAGCTGAGGGGGACAAGGAGGAAGAGCACCCCTCAAGGCCCATACAGCTGGCCCCAAACTCAGCATCCTTCTGCCTTGGCTTCTCATGAGCTGGCACTACAAGTGTGGGCCACTGTGCTCAGCTAGCAAGAGTATTCCTAATAGGCGAGGCAGACCGAAATGGACCGAACCTTCCCCCTTCCTTCTTCAAACGTCTATTGAAGCCTCAACCAACCTTGAATATGATTGGAATTGGAAAGAAGCCCTGTAAGGTTCCAGTGAAGATGAAACAACAGGCTCAGGAAGGGCACTAATGCCTCAGAATTAGGGTCCTTATAGAACAGAAAGAGGGGCCGGGGAGATGGCTCAGTGGAATAAGCGCTTCCCTGGCAAGCGCAAGGGCCTGAGTTCAATCCCAGGTTCTGAAAAAAAAAGAAAAAGAAAGAGACATTGGTGAGCTCCACCTTTCCACAGATGTAGAAAAGGTCACTCAAGGACACTAAGAGAAGATGGCTGTTGGCAAGCCACGAAGAGCCTTCCTCAGAAACCGGCCCCTAGCTGGGGGGACAGCGCAGCAGCATCAGTGCCTGCCTGGCAAACACAAGGTCTTGAGTTCAGTCCCCAACACACACACACACACACACACACACACACACACACACACACACCCCACAACACACAGAAACCGGTCCCCTTGGAGCCTTCACTTTGGACTTCCAGCCTTCTGACCGGCTCCCAAGCCAACACGTAGATCATTCCTGAGGCTCCAAATGCACTCAAGTGTGTATCAGTGCAGGCTTGTGTTCAACTTGGGCAGACAAGGAGGTGGACATATGACACGAAGAAAATGGATAACTTTTTAAAAAGTTTTATTTCAAGAACTTGGTTTTTACTGGTATTCCAAAAAAAGGTGGGTCAAAGTACAAAAAAAAAAAGTCAGTTGAACAAGAGCACAGGTTTAGAAATCACAGCAGCAGAAGCCATGTGCGGACAGCACAAACAACCCAATGTACGCGATTCTGTTCCGTTTCTTCACTTATTTTGTCTTTTCCCCTCCTGTACAAAAAACATCAAAGCATGCCATGAGATCAGAAAAGGAAGAGTTTAACAAATGGTTACAAGAAATAGACTCTGTACCAGAGGAGCAACTGCGTCTTCCCCGCCCCCACCCCCACCGCCACCTTCTTGCCCGGCTTTAGGTTAAGTTATTCTGAAGACAGTTCACGTCCAGGTCCACCTGGTCCCCTTTGCCACCCTCGAGCTTGGGTGACATGGAGTTCTGGATGTTAAAGGGCTCCTCCTCTTTCAGGCAGGACTTGAGGACTTCCTGGATTTTGTGGGGAGCACTGGGATCATCCTGCAAGAGAAAAGTTGGGGAGGACAGAGAGCAAGCAGTCATCATCCTGAGTTTTGCTTTGTTTGCTTTGTGTTTTGAGACAGGGCTGGCTATATAGTCCAAGCTGGTCTTGAACTCACTCTGGAGCCCTGGCTAGCCGGCCCTGGAACTGGCAGTGATCCTCCTGTCTCAGCCTCCTGAGGACTAAGATTACAGGCGTGTGCCACCATGCCCAACTAGGGCAACCCTTCCTTTTCTTTTTTCTTTTTCTTCTTCTTCTTCTTCTTCTTTTTTTTTTTTTTTTTTTTTTTTTTTTTTTTTGGGAAGGGCCTACAGGGTGTTCAGGGTCTCACTACTAGATGGGACTCTTAGTGATCCACCTGTCTACAGCCTCCCAAGAACTGGGATTACCGGCGTGCACCACCGTGCCCAGTCTCAAATGCCATCTCAGTGTGCCCGGGGAGTGGGGCTGGCACAGCAGGCCCAGGGATTGAACCCCAGGCCCCGGCGCCTCCTTGCAGGCACTTTAATCTGCTGAGATTTTTTTTTTTCTTTTATTTTTCCGGAACAGGGGATTGAACTCAGGACCTTCCACTTGCCAGGTAAGCACTTATTCTACTGAGCCATCTCCCCGGCCCCCTGGCTGAGCTATTTGGCCAGCCCTTCTTTTCTTTTCTTTTCTAAGTAGGAAGAGTTTATTGAGAGAAAGAATGCTGAGAGGGACAGAAGGGGACTCAGAAAGTGGGTTGCCCTCAGCTAGCTAGGTTTTTCTAACTGGCCAGAAGAAGCATAGTTTTAAAAACAGGAGAAAAACTGTAAGAGTGGAATAAACTAAAAGTAACTGAGCTAAGTCATTAGCATCTACTCTTAGGACAGTCCTTTATGACCAGTGGCTGGATATAGAAATGTTTTTCACTTGTAAACAGATTCCACATACCTTCTATCTGGGGCCAGGTAGGCTTTCTCTCAGACAGGGACTGGGAAGAAACAGTCCCTTAACTCGGCCTAGGTGCCTCTAAAATTGCATGCATGCCAGGAGTGGCAGCACACACTTGTAATCCTTGCACACAGGAGGCTGAGGCAGGAGGGTCATCATGAGTGAGGCCAGCCTGGGCTACTTAGTGAAATACTGTCTCAATATAAAAGAAAATGAAAAGCAGCAGCAGCGCAGCCAGCATATAGGCCTCAAATTCTACGTTCTTAGCTGTAGCGCTTTATAAAAACTGCCAGCCTTCCCTTTTCCTTTCCACCACTGGAGGGGACGAGCTATGTGCAAAGCTCTGAGCCTCAGTTTGTTCTCTAAGGACCCAGGCAGCTGTCCTAAGTGCTCAGAACTCTGCTGACCAGGGAGGCAGGTTTGTGGGTGGCAAGAAGCGCGGAGACTGCCCTAAAGCCCAAGTAACTGCGTCTAACTCTGCGAGGACCGGCGGGCCTCAGGACTGCGCCTTTTCTGAGGCCCTCCTCTGCTATCTACTGCCAACTGGACCAGTCCTGGAAGTCGGTTAGGTCTGTCACAGGATGGCAAGAAATCAGCAAAGACCCAGGCTTTCCATGGGGCCCAAACACACAGGACAGTGTGTGCCTAGGGTACTGTCACCCGCCTGCCATCCCAGCCTGGGTGGACACGTCTTCTGGGCCCCGAGCAGAGGTTTAACATGTGACTTGCAGTGTGGGCAGGAGGAAAGGGGCTCCAGAGAGGTCAGAGGCCAATGCAAGGGGCTGCGGCTGCACAGCACACAGCGCACGTGGGCACCCCATCTGTCTGCGTGGGGAGAGCTGAAAAACTACACAGGGTAGAAATCTGCACAGGTGCAAATCAAGGGTAGAAAATCCCATGTGTGTTTAGAAAATACAGCTGGGTATGGTAACCCATGCCTGTTAGCCTGGTATTCAGAAGGCTGAGGCAGGAGGATTGTCATGAGTTCAAGGTCAGACCGGGCTACACAGTGAATTCCAGGCCAGCCTACCCTACATAGCAAGACCCTATATCAAAAACCAAACCTGGGGGCTGGTGAGATGGCTCAGTGGTCTAAACCACTTACTTAGAACAAGCTTAGCAAAGCACAGGGACCATGGTTCAATCCCCCAGCACCACATGCCAGCCAGCCCCGCCCCCTGGTGGGCTGAGCTGGCCACACACATACACACATACACACACAAAAATAAAAATAAAAATAAAAATTAAAAAAAACAAAAAACAAAACAAACCTGAAGGCCAACCAATTCGCTCAGTGGGTTAAAGCACCTGTTTAGGCAGAGCCAGCGGCTGGGGTTTGGTCCCTGACCTGCCGTGCCAGCCCTGCCCCCGGGGTGCACTGAGACGTGATTGAGACTGGGCAGGTAGCGTATGCCTATAATCCCAGTTCTTTGGGAGGCTAAACACAGGCGGATCAATATGAGTCCGATCTATGTAGTGAGACCCTGTAGACACTGTAGACTCTATAGACCCTTACTAAAACAAAACAAAAACCAGCCAATGAGATAGCTCAGTGGCCTAACACGCCTACTTAGGCAAGCTTAGGAAGGTGCAGGGGGCCATAGTTCCATCCCTGGCACCACATGCCAGGCTAGCCCCCACCCCTCAGGGTGGGCTGAGCCAGCCAAAAAAAAAAAAAAAAACTAAACCCAAAACCTATGTGTGTGTACATACAAACACACACACATATTAATTGTCAGACATGCTGACATATGCCTGTCATTCCAGCTCTAGGGATTTTTTTTTTTTTTTTTTTTTGGTGGAACCAGGGATTGAACTCAGGCCCTTGCACTTGCCAGGGAAGCCACTTATTCCACTAAGCCATCCCCTTGGCCCCCAGCTCTAGGGATTCTGAGGCAGGACAACTGGCAGGAGTTCAAGGGCAATGTGGGGTTACATAGTGAGTTCTAGGCCAGCCTGAAACACTTTGCCAAACCCTGTCTCAAGAAACAAACAAAAATAGTTTGTTTTGTTTATACTAGGGGTTGAATCTGGAGCTTTGGACTGCACCACATCACTAGCACTTTTTATTTTATTAGGGTCTGAGTCATTAAATTGCCCAGGCTGGGTTCTCCTAGGACCAGGTTTTTTGGGTTTTTTTGTGGCGGAACTGGGCATTGAACTCAAGCAGGCTCTTATTCTACTGAGCCATCTCCCCGGCCCAGGACCAGGTTTGACAGTCTCTGAATCACACCACAGCCCAGAAGAGACAGGAGGGCCGCTACTCACCTTGCCTCTCACTAAGATGCGCCTTTGTGCCTAGAGACACCCTCCACACCCCTCCACACCCCTCCACACCCCACAGCGCGTGCACCTGCGTGCCTGTCAAAGGTGCACAGAAGTGTGCGACGACTCCTCGCAGCGCTGTGCTGCACGGGCGTTGGGCACGTTAACTTGGCCCTGAGGCTCAGGCAATCTGAGCAGACCCTGAGAAAGCTGGGTCAGACGGTGTGAGAACGGACCCTAAATTAAGGCCTAATTAAGGCCCTCAAAGGGGGCAGCAAGGGGTGTCGTGGACAGGCACAGCCTGGCCTCAGTGTCTCCCTAGGGCCCATCCCGTGCAGAAGGCCCATCTCCCTTTGGTGAGCAGATGTACCTAGTCACCAGGGAGTGGGGCTGACATCTGGTGTAAGTCCTGGGATCTGCTGTCCCTGTCCCCAGTGTCCCCCTCTAGGCCCAGAGAAATGTGTGCTCAAGCCTGGACCCCAGGGTCCAGACGCCAACCTTTCCTGAAAGGGGCAGGGAGCCAGCGCGCTAGCAAGGCGCACCACAAAGCCTTTGGGATAAATGCAGCTCGCGGACAGCCTGGTGCGCGCAGGAGGCCTGAGTCACTCCTCGGGAGGCGGCGGCACAGTGCAGGCAGGGCAGCCTCCGTCACAGCAGCACCCTAGTGTCCCTTGGGTGCTGCAGGGCCACACAGGAGACTCACACAGGGTTGCGATTCTTGCTCCCGGCCTGGGCCCTGGAAGCACCATCCTCTGTAAAGGGAGGATGCGACTGCCCTGTCCAGCAGGAGTGTGCTGGGGTCTCATCTCTGTCTCTGACCCTCACCCCTAGCTACAGGCCAGCTGCAGTGTGACCCAGCAGGACAGGTGCCATTTAGGCTGGGTGCTGACAGTGGAACCAAGAGGGCCCACCACAGGCCACCATTCCCATTAATGGTCAGCAGAGTGAGTGCTCCTATGCTGAGGAGCAGGGCCAGGGACAGCACAGCTTGGGGATAACAAGACTCCTCTTTCGCAGGGAACAGCACAGAGAGCGGAAGCTCCTGCACTGGTCTAGCCAGTGGAAGCTCCAGTGAGCTCGCACTCTGCTACCCATGACTTCACAGAGCTTCCAAGTTTCTGCTTCACCTCCGCTGTTCAGTCTGGAGTCAGCCTAGCTCTCTTAGGTTGTAATAACACATTCACCTTGCAATATGGTGTCTGCAAGGTGTGCAGAATTCTTCGATTGGATGTGACATAATGATTTGGGGGCTTAGCTGGCTTTTATTTTATTTTCAAAATTCTCTCATAGTTATCCAGTAGTTTTCAGTCAGTCTGGTCCAGGCAATGTACTAGACCAGCGCTGTCTGAAAATGGTCTACTGGGACCCTTCACTGGGCATCAGTTGATATGTAGGAGCCCTTCCTCCTAGGAAAGAACTGTTCTTGGGCTGGTGGTTCTGTGGGTGTTGTGTGCGCCTGCGGCCAGACCACTTGCAGACACATCAAAGACCATCAAGGTTTCCCTACCTATCCCAAAGGGCTCACTCAATAGCCACCAGAAGGGCCAGGGAGCTAGGTTGGTGGAATAAGTGCTTGCCTGGCAAGCACAAGGTCCTGAGTTCAATCCCTGGTACAG